TTTTTTTTTTTAATTCACTCATGCACTCAGCAAATGCTTTTTGAATAATCCCAGTGTGCTGGGAACTCTTTAGAAGCTGAGTGAAACCTGGGCTGGGAACATGAGAGAGAAGAGTAAGACATTTAGGGCTCTCTGTGCGATCGACAGACACTGTTTTGTACTATCCACGCCCCTCATCATGCATGTCTTCTCACCCCCTTGGGGGATACGATTCCCCCCATTCCCACCCCCACCCCGTGTCTGTGGAGCAGACGGAAGCCCGAGAGCTGTTCGGTCAGTTGGCCAAGAGCAGATCTTAGCCGTGGTGAGGCTGGGGTTTGCTTCCAGGTCTGATCGACTCCAAAGCCTGTGCTCTTAATTATGTTGCCTCTGCCATACTCATAACTCTCTTAGCAGCCATAAATTCAACTCTGTCTGTTAGACCCAGTAAATTTCAAAGTGGAAAATCATTTTTCCAATAAAACTACACTTAGAAAAAAACGATGTTAATGCGCATACATTCTACCCTCATTATGACATCAACCTCCGAGCCAAACTATTTTGCACGTTATAAAGAGCTGTTTTTATGATGAATGGGGATTATATTGGCACTTTAATTGAGTTAGAAACCAAGGTACATGAAAGTTAGTGCATGAGAAATGCAATAAAGCAAACGCTGTTCAATGTGATTGGAATATATCAGATTACTTTCATACCACCTTTAAATACATAAGGTCCATACCTTTAAATATGTTTAATCAAACTGTTGGATGAAATATATACATGCATATATATACACACACATTTTGCCCCTCAAGAAAATCTCTTCCTTTTTAAAAACTTCTTTTTTTAAATTTTATTTTAGAGAGAATGCATGCGTATGAGCTGGGGAGAGGGGTAGAGGGAGAGAGGGAGGAGAGAGAGAGGGGGAGAGAGGGAGAGAGAATCTCAAGCAGGCTCCACACCGTCAGCATAGAGCCCGATGCGGGGCTCGAACTCACAAACTATGAGATCATGACCTGAGCTGACATCAAGAGTCGGATGCTTGACCAACTGAGCCACCCAGGCACCCCCGGAACTGTTGCTCTCTTATATTCAAATATGGCAATCTAGAAGGTGAGCATATATTTGGATCAAATTATTTAAATTAAAAAACATCATTTTCCACAGTAGGGTTTTTGACAGAAATATCAGTTCAATTTCAAACATATTAATTATTTCATTTCTTTTGTTCTAGTTCCAATTTGTCCGTCGTTTAAAAAAAAAACAACAAACTTTAATTCACATGCCCTTAAAATTAGTACATACTTGTATTTGCTTGCTTTAGTATTCAGCAAATTAAAGAGTTTATTTAATTTGGGGCTTGTGGTTTCCTTAAGGTCAAATCTCCATTTTAGAGAAAGAATAGGTTACTTAAATTGTTTAGTCACATTGAAGGCCTTGAGGCAAATCAAAAGTCCCTAGGTTTGCTGAAAATGAGATGTCCTATATTTTACCCTTCTCTAATCCAATCAAAACTATAGAATTGTCCGCATCAGAGTTAATGCACGGAGCGTGGATTTTTAAAACATAATTGGGATGACTCTTTTGAGGAATTAATTTGCGCAAATCGTGTTGTGGTTTAGCACACTACAATATTAGCTTTGGAAAGTGCGCATTAAATAGTTCCCATCAATTATGCTTGGCTGTGAATGAATCCGAGGGTTCCTTTTGTTATAAATTACTATTTCCTAAAATGCCTTCGCAGAGAGGCAATGAAACACTTTCAGCTTTGGAATGTTTAAAGAGCTGTTCTTTGCCAGTGGTTGATTTCGAGCCAGCTCAAATGCTTACAAGAACTCATGAAACACAGTTGAGGATGGCCCATTTGCTGGCTGGTCAGTTTACCTCTTTCTGGAATTCTCCTTTGGTTCTTGCACGGTGCTGCTTTTGCCACAAGGGACTCCCCTTGATCCTGCGGTGTGCTGGCTGCCGGGCCCCAGAACTGAAGTCAATGATTTGAACTTTTGCATAAAAAGTCTCCTGGTACTGCTAATGCCTGCTTGCATTTTGAGCATGCTACATTAACATAAAAACTACAACTATTTTTGCAGCTGTAGGCAAATCCCACACTGCCCAGATGGAGTCACATGACAAGATCTATCTTGAAATGGCATAGAGAAGGGGGAAGAGGCATTGTGTGTGCATCTACAACCTGAAGCCAGGAGGGAGCGTTCTGAAATATTTCCGGGTGCATTGTGTGAATTCACAGAAGGTTCCTTTTGCTATAGTTAGTCATCGGCAAAGGCCGGGCTCATGACTTAGGCAAGAGTTCCCAAGTTCAGCGAGTAGTTCTCCCAGTGTTCTGGGTCTTTCAGGAAGACCCAGGAAGAGGCCATTGGAAGATGGCCCCACGACATTTGAGGTATTTTGCCATGATCCCGCTGATGGCTGTGATGATGGGTCAGTAAATCACAATTCTGCAGGTTGCTTTGGGGTCCTTTGTTTTGCCTTTCCTTCCCCTACTTCTACTGTCTTTCTCATGACCTCGCTCTGCCTTTGTTTTTCTATTTGAAAAGTAACTGGAGACCCACTGGAGGTTTTGCCAGAGGCCCACGGAAATCTGACCACCAAATAAACTACTTCTCGCTGTTACTACTGATTTTTTTTTT